TAGACACCGAAAATCGTTGGGGATCGTTGGAAATGACTATCGTTGGTCCGAAGGATCGTTGGCACCGGAAATCGTTGAGAATCGTTGCAAATGACAATCTTTGGTCCCAAGGGTCGTTGGCACCGAGCATGGTTGGAGCTGACTCTCTTTGGTGTGGACGATCATTTGCACCGAAAATGGTTGAGGATCGTTAGAGATGACTATCGGTGGTCGGGAGGATCGGTGGCCCTGAAAATCGCTGAGGATCGTGTGAGATGACTATCGGTGGTCAGGAGGATTGTGGGCACTGAAACTCGTTGAGGATCGGTCCAATATGACTGTCGTTGGTGTGGAAGACCTTTGGCACCGAGGATTGTTAGGGATCGTTGGAATTGACCACATCGATGGTCTGGACGATCGTTGGCGGCGAGGATCGTGGAAAATGACTACGATCGATCAAAAGGATGGTGGGCACCGAGGATCATTTTACGTCGTTGAAAATGACTACCGTTGGTTCGGAGGATCGTGGACACCTAGTATCGTCGACTGTTGGTCGTCCGGAGGATTGTTGCCACCTAGAATCATTGAGCATGGTTGAGTATGACTATCGTTGGTCCGGAGGATCGTTGGCACCGTGAATCGTTGAGGATCGTTGAAAATGACTATCGTTGTCCGGAGGATCGCTGGCACCGAAAATCGTTGAGGATCGTTGGAATTGTTTATTTGTCAGGAGCATCGTTGGCACCGAAAATCGTTGAGGATCGTTGGAAATGACTAAATTTGGTCCAGAGGATCGTTGGCACCGTGGATCGTTGAGGATCGTTGGAAACGACTAAATTTGGTCCAGAGGATCGTTGGCACCGCGAATCGTTGAGCATCGTTGGAAATGACTATCTTTGGTCGGGAGGGTCTTTGTCACCGAGGATCGTTCAGGATCGTTGAAAATGACTATCGTTGTTCGGGAGGATCGTTGGCACCAAAAATCGTTGATGATCGTTGCAAATGACTATCGTTTGTCCGGAGGATCGTCGGCACCGAAAATAGTTGAGGATGGTCGGAAATGACTATCTTTGGTCGGGACGATCCTTGGCACCGAAAATCGTTGAGGATCGTTGGAAATGACAATCTTTGGTCCGGAGGATCGTTGGCACCGAGGATCGTTGAGGTTCGTTGGAAATGGCTATCGTTGGTCCGGAGGATCGTTGATACCGAACATGATTGGGGATCGTTGCAAATGGCTATCTTTGGTCCGGAGGATCGTTGGCGCCGAACATCGTTGAGGGTCGTTGGAAATGACTATCGTTGGTCCGGAGGATCGTTGGCACCGACAATCGTTGAGGATCCCTGGAAATGACTGTT